ACAGAGCCTACCAGGATGTCTGTCTATCTATCTATCTATCTGTCTTTCTATCTATCTATCTATCTATCTATCTTTCTGTCTGTCTGTCTCTACCTACCTACCCGACAGGTGAGGTTGAAGTAGCCAGCCTCCCAAATGCTCTTTGTCTGTGTTGTGTAAATTCTTTGCCATATATCGACCGGCCAAAGGGCTAGAACTCAAAATGGCTGCTGGATCGGACAAGTAAAGTAAGTTAAGTAAAAACCACCCCTCCAGGGCGGTGCTAATGACTGAAGTGTCGAAAGGCCATTCACAAAATGGGGATATTACCCCATGTTCTTATGCACAGTAGAACTGCAATTGTAAATGGGCTGATTCATCAATGTCATGCTCATAACTGTGCAGGAATTGCAACAGGGAACTGCTGCCTTTTCTTTCCTCATCCTTACTATCGTCTTGTATGTTTGTCACACTCTTGTGACCCGCTATTTCCGGGGTGCCTTGATAGTGGAAGCAGACTTTGTGCTGTTGAAGCTTGAGAGGTGAGCAGAGTAAGTCTGATTCCCTGTAAGGACTTCTCTGTTGACATCCACCCTTTTGTGCTTATAAGAGCATACTAAAACTAAAAGGAAAAGTAAAGTCTGTGTGTTTTATCCCGGAGCAGGTCTGAGGCCAGTTCCCCGGAGCCCAGCATGCCGGCCGAGCGCCGCGCGGGTCAAGAGCTGACCGGCCCTGACCACAAGATGGGAGGTCGCCACAGCCCCTGGACTGACCAGCAGGCAGGGGAGAGGGCCAGCAATGTGGACACGCCCACCGGGCCGCCTGTCAACGGACACGGGCCCAAGTACCCCACGGGGGATGTGGAGAAGGTGGGTCCCTCTGTCTGTCTGTCTGTCTGTATGTTTGTATGTTTATTTTTCTGTTTATTTGTACATGTGCCTGTTTGTTGGTCTGTCTGTCCATCTGCCTGTTTGATTTATCTGTCTGTTTATCTGTCCATCTGCCCGTCTGCCTGTTCGTCTGTCCATCTATCTGTCTGTCTGTCCATCTGCCTGTATGTTTATCTGTCCATCTCCCCATCTGCCTGTTCGTCTGTCCATCTATCTGTCTGTTTATTTGTCTATCTGTTTGCCTGTCTGTCCATCTGCCTCTCTGTTTGTCTGTCTTTCGGTCTCCCTTCTCTTATAACCAAGAAAAGTGTGGTGCAGCAAAATCTGACCTGACTCTTAGGCGGATTTCCTTTGTAGGACGGGTTCTTAGGCATGCAAATGATAGAGAAAGATATCCCCTTCTATGGTGAAAGCAGGTTCTTATAGCGGGCGGTTGGCGGGTGCTGTAGTGTGGTCTGCGCCTTCTTTCCTTTCAAACGTCCATCGTCCTTATCTTTCCTCAGAACACTTCTAATCTTCTGCACTTATATGGACTTATTGTGTTGTAAGTGCTGTAAAACTTTGACTATCCTAAAATGAATGGTTTTTACATGGAGCTTTTTTTTTCAAGCAGAGGCCACTGGTATGTGTGGGTGGTCGGAGGGTGTCACTGGTAGTTCCAACTTTTTTATCTTCTTATGTCGTTTCTGTTTGTATGGTTGGTTGGAGGGTGTTACTGGTAGGTCTTACTTCTTTTCTTTGCCTCTGTTATATTTGTGTATTGGTGTTACCTTTTCCGAGTACTAAATGACTGGGGGTTTTTTATGTCTTTACTCAAACAAGTAAAGATCATTTTCTCACCGCTAAATGACTGCATTTGTGTTGATAATTTGTCTGCTCAAAACAAGTAATTCCGTTGCAGTGAAATGTTTACAGCTTCTGTCTGCAAAATGAATTGTAAACTAATCTTTTTCTCCCTCTTCCTCTCTCTGCCGCC